TCCTTCCCTCCTTCCCTCCCTCCCTCCTTCCCTCCTTCCCTTCTTTATTTTCTTTCTTTCGTTCGTTCTTCCTTCCCTCCTTCCCTTCTTTCTTTTCTTTCTTTGTTTCTTTGTTTCTTTCTTTCGATATTCCTTCGTCTTCATTCTCTCGTGCAGTAAGCAGGAAAGACAGGGTTGAAGTTTACGGTGTGTATATCTTAGCGCCAGGCAAATGGTGACACAGAAGAAGAAACAAAATGGTAGGTCCCCGGTAATAACCATACCCACCTTAACTTTGAGATTTTCGTTTTCAGACCTGATGTCCACGAGCTCCTGGCGCACTGATGTGTTCTCGCGAAGAACTTTGTCTACTGCCATCTGGCGCTCATCAAGCAGGCTTTCCTGCTGCGAAATCATTGCGCTCTTGAGCTTCATCTTTCCTTTGCTGGCGCGGAGCTCCCTCTGGATGCAGGGTTACACATAGAAACAGACAAAAAGAGCAGAATGCACCCAAGAAATACACAAAACGATAGCAAGAGACGAACAATGCATTTTAGACAGAACAGTACAACCGGAGAGTGTCATGTACGCTGTACCATGACTCTGGATAAGGTTCCTTGGTCTTGTACTTAGTATTCTCACAATATTGCACTCGTATATACTGAGTGCCAGATGGCAGTAGACACTCGTATATATTGATAAGATGATTTAAGATCCAGGTAATCTCACAAAATAACACTCATATACATTGAGCTCCTAATTGTACTTCGCAATTACAAAAATCAACAAAGCAGCAGTAGTCCATTGAAGAAATACATAATTCTTATAAAGTGTTTTTTTTTTAAATGCTTTTTGCTCTAATTAAATCCTGCAAACTACTCGTCCTTTCTCGTGAGAGTGTTCACCGTGTATTCCAATCCTCCTAAATAGGAGCAATCAATGCTGGTCAGGGTTCCTTCGGCCGGACGGAAGGAAGCGTGAGAGTGTTCACCATGTTGTTATGATTCTGGTTGACTGTTGTCTGGAGACCAACACTCACTCACATAGACTCCCAGGTATGCCCATACATACACAGAAGGAAGGGGAGAGGATAGGAGTATCACACCGCACAAGGAGAGAGAATCACAGCGGAAGACTTGACCATGCAATATGACAGGGTACACTGAAAGTGCAATTCACTCCACTCAATCCTCACAACCAGTCATAAAGGAAAGCCGAGTAGATCACATCCAAGAAACAATGAAACGATGATAGTCTGAACCCAGTATCACACTGTTACACTGTTTATTAAACTCAGAGTCTCGAATTGTCAGGATAACCTCAGAGAAGAGCAGCGCTTCACTCCCCAACCTTGATGAACCACTATTCTACCCCTGAGTCCCAGAAACATCAAGCGCCACCCAGATAAAGGCCTCGGAGGCCAAGCGCCACTCAGAGGATGAAGAAGAAGACCAGCGCCACAGTATCTGATGATGACGAAGTGTCGAATGACTTCCCGGGTGGAAGTCTGCAGCAGTGCCACCTCTCCTGACAAGATGATCTCTGAGGAAGAAGCTGCAGCTATGGCTGCAGCGCCACAACCCTGTAACCCTACTCCAGAGGAGGGTCCAGCAGGGCACCAACTTCTCTCGCCTCCAGCAGACCTCAAATAGCCCAGACCTCTGTGCAGCCCCGCGGGCTGACAGAGCACAGCGCAGGTCCCAGCTTCAACGCAGAGCTGTCACCACTTCCAGTTCGTGCGTTGCACAGCAGCGATGTACGCGGTACCACCGCCAAAAGCCCTGAACCGATGTGCCCATCCTATCTATAGTCTACTCTAGCCTAGACTCGACTTACACCGGACTGACTGACCGACCGGTACCGTTTCTGTTTCGGCCTCTAGGGCCTCTCCCTACCCGGCTATAGGCTATAGGACCGTCTATCAGCATAGGCCCTTAGGGCCTGTCTGTCCTAGGGGTAGCCCGGGTCTGCTATTCGCAGTAGGGTAGCGGTAGGAAAATTCAGTTGGTACGGGCCTGTATTTTCCCGAATTTGCAGATTTGTCCCTCGCCAATTTCCCCTACCGGTACGTCTCTCGGTTAGCCCTCAGCCAAACAAAATTACGAAACTACCCTACCTATGGTACAGCCTCGACAAGAGAGAGGCTACAGACCAACAGAACCAGCAAGTCATTGCAATGTAATCCAATTCTCGACTTGCCGGTGGACAGGAACCGGACTGACGCTCCCCAGAATGGAAATGGAGCCAGGACCATAAGGACCTGTTTTAAAAAAAAAAAAAACTTGACGTTTTGCAGACTGCCTACTTTCCCGTGGCCCAACACTCTTTGGGTGAAGTTAGTCTTGAGTGCTTGGGTCTGTTCTGGATGTTGCTGGATTTGCATCTGCACCCTCTTCCATTGTGTGCGGATATCGGTTTCCAGGAGGGCCAGCTGACTTGATCGTACGCCTTTTCGAAGTCTAAGAATAGTATTGCGGCATTTATTCTCTTGTCCTTGATGTATCGCACGGACTCCGTTAGTGCCATGACGCTGTCTAGTATGAATCTTCCCAGTATGAACCCTGTCTGGTCCAGGTGAAAGCATCCCTCCGTGACTACCCTGAGTCGGTTGGCCAATGCTTTGGCTATAATCTTGTGTGTGAGTGTGAGTAGGGTTATTTTTGGCCTTTAACTACGGATGTCCGCTGGGTTTCCTTTTCTGTACAGGAGAGTGACTATCCCTGTTGCCGGGTCTTGTCCCACCCCCTCCCTTTGCCATGCTTGCTCCAGATATGCTTCGTATTCTTTCCCCAGAATTGGCCAGAATTCCATCCAGATCCAGAATTCTCTCGTTAGGCCATCCTTCCCGGGTGTCTTGTTTGGTGACATGGATTTAAGTGCCTCCCACAGTTCCTCCTGCTCCAGGGGAGCGTCGACCTTTGCTGCTCGCGTTTGTGATATCGTCAGCTCCAAACGCGCCAAAAATTTTGATTGTGCCATCTCCACCTGCCGTCTTGGAGGGTCCGACTCTCTCGTTGTATAAAGGTTGCTGTAAAAGTCTTGGGCCACTGCCACCATTCCTTCAGCGGTAGACATCGGTCCCTGTGGTCCTTCGAGCTGCTCTATCAGGGCGTTCCTTCCTCTGGTCTCGATTTTCTGAAAGAAGTATTTGGTCATTCGCTCGCCCACCTCCGGCTCCCTTTGCAGGCCGTGCGTTCTCCATCTTTCCCATTCTGCCAGTTCCGTTCTTGCTGCCTCCAATGCCCTCTCATATATCCCCTTCCCCGGGCTCCTAATTAGATTCCGTTCCGCTATACGCATTGCCTGTTGCAACTCTTGTTCTCTTGCCTTCCTTTCCGCCGCCAGCTGTCTGGCCGCTACTGCGGAGGCTTGGGATAGGGTGTTTAAGTTGTTTAACAGGTCTGGGAATGACTGTGTCTCGGGTGTATAGGACTGACACACCTGTAGCACTGACTGTCTGTGATTTCCAGGGTTTGGAGAAGCGAATTATTTAATTTATGAAGACTCCTTCCTCTTTTAACCTGCTTGTCTGTGATTAAGTGGGGGAACATGGGCTTGTGATCTAAGCCTGTCATGTACGGTTGTCTTCTTCTGACATGAGTCCTGAAGTTTTTATTCCTTTTGGTCCTCCGCCCTTTGTCTCCTCCTCCTGTTTCTTATTCTTCCTACGATGAGAGGGTGGAGGGTTGGGGTGTGGGAGGCGGAAAGAGAGGGAGAAACAGAGAAGAGGTGCATGGAGGAAGAGAGGGAGGGAACGTCTCAGGAAGACGGTGGACAGACATATAGGTAGGGAACGATGCAGGAAGATGGATGGACAACAGACAGTCATCGGATACATGTTCCGGATGGAGAGGGGGAGGATGGATGGGCAAATAATGTCCGATCGACAGAAACAGGACAGAAAAGGAAACACTTTTGCAAGGAATGAATGAATGGCAGCAGAACCTGCAATCTCTCAATGATTTGATTCCCCTTGTTGATTTCTGCTATACTGGCCTCCATCCTCTTTTCCATCTTTGAAGCTGAGGCTTGTGTTTCTTTCAACGACGTTTCCACAGCTGCCCTGCAGTAAAGAAGCATTCAAACCACATGGTTCATGATTTATCAGCATGTCTAAGTTGCCTTTTCTTTTTTAAACAATAATCAGCTTATCTCACTTTGAAAAGAAAAGAAAAACTCAGCTTATCTTATCTTTTGCTGGGTGGCTATCCTGTGACTCTTGAGGAGTTCAAGACATTAAAATGGTTGAAGGTCTCCAGTCTAATTCTGGGAGTATCATATACATGCAGGGTAGCTAGGACGCCCAATTTACTTGTAACTTTGCACCTGAGATCAGTTAGCTCTGAGTGCAATGTAGCACAGACTAAACCAGATAAACAGCACATGGAAGATGAAACCACCAGTGGCCCCAACGACCCCTGCAAATCTAGTCTGTATACAAGAAAGACTCGGGTAGTCACAAACAACTTCACAAAAACAAGCCTCTAGCCAGGACTTCAAATGAATAGAGGGGAGAGAGAGAGAGAGAGAGAGAGAGAGAGAGAGAGAGAGAGAGAGAGAGAGAGAGAGAGAGAGAGAGAGAGAGAGAGAGAGAGAGAGNAGAGAGAGAGAGAGAGAGAGAGAGAGAGAGAGAGAGAGAGAGAGAGAGAGAGAGAGAGAGTTAATAAATGAAATTTTGATATTCATTTCACCAATGAGCCTAGCTCAGTTGATACACCCATGAACTGTTGAAATACAGACCCAATGGACCTACTAGATGTATGCAATCAAATAATTCTGAATTACCTGGGGCTAGTCAACTCGGTGATGATATCTCAAGACCGTTGCCCTTTAAAAAAATAAAATAATAATAATAAATGAATAAAAATCGTTTTGCGGAACATGCATGTGCACTGCGGAAAGGGGAAAGGGGGCCTCACCTGCAAGTTGCCTCGGTCTCCACTCGACTGGAAAGATTTGCAATCATATCCTCCTGGTCATGCACCTGACCAATAACATGTATGAAATTATGAATGTGTGAGCATTCCTTTTTTTTTTTTGCATGCGTGATAAATCTTTGTCACTTTGTAACTGTCAAATTGCCGATAGCACTTCTTTTTTTCTCTTGTTCTTTTTTCCTTTTTTTTTTGCCGTCCTGGAAAATGGGTGCAAGGGAAGAGAATATCCCAATCCATAGCCTCATGATGGAATGGGACCTTATAGACCCATACCGACTCTATTTTCCCGAAGACCGACAGCTTACTTATCACAAACGGAACCGCAGCCAACACGCCTCAGCATCCCGAATAGACTACTTTCCATACTGGCGGCGTATGCCATACGCGGGGTTGTGGCACGTGTGGCGCAGAGCGCATGCGCACGTGATGCAGTGCATCACAAAAAAAAAAAGAAAAAAAAAACAGCCAAAAGGACAGGTGGGGTGGTCAAACATGCCCCTCGCTTCTGAAAATCAAACTGCAAGAGGGAAAAAAGTCGGGGCCGCGTCATACCCCAAACCTGTGAGTGCATGTGTGTGTGTGTAGGTGTGCATGTCCTCAGTGTCCAGTGACAGCAAATTAGCAAGGACCCCTCGTGAAGCAGAGATAGATGCTAGATTTCGATTTTTGTAAGAGTGGGCCGAGAATATATACTCTGGATTCGAATTCAGGTCTGTGTATAAGCGGTTATGGGTCACTAATTCTCTGTTTTTTCGTTTTTGTTCTCTTAGGAATACGTGCAGTGGCCCTAAGGGCCTCTACTCACGACATGCACAAAAGACAAAACATATGGCGGCGTATTATCCAGGTTCTAGCAGAAGATTCGTTCTAATTTTGCACATTTGGTGAGTAGTGCAGCCAAGCCCTTAGAATCATGTGCAGAGACGAACAGGGCCTAGCTAAGTGAGCAACCCATCTGTGTGACGCCCTCTCTCTTTTTGACTCCTTCCAGTGGACATTCCCCACAGAACGCACCTTCACATGCATCTGAAACAATAACCCCGCTAGGCTTTCCATATCAAGGATAGATTTGATTCTCACCTTGGAGGCCATAGCGGGGAGCCTGACATTAGCAGCAATCTTGCCATCCAGCCCGTACCCGGGCTTGGACCACAAAATGTGTATGATAGCCCTCACCTTCCGAAAACGGCCAGACCAGGGGGCCAACTTTTACAAATTAAACACATCCCTGCTTCGGCTCTCCTCTTTCCGCCAATACCTAACCCAGGTATGGGCATACTGGAGGGACCGTCACCCCGAGCTGCCATCCTCTGTGGTATGGTTTAACAACGGCCTGTTTTATTTGGCCAGAAAATGCAGCAAGTTTTCCAAGCAACTAGCCAGACAGCGTTATCAGCAGGAAATCGGTCTTTTATGAATCAACTCCAACAGCTGGAACAGCAGCACAGCCCGCAGACGGCAGAACAGCACGCACAGACTATCGCGGAGGTAAGGAACAAACTTCTCCAACTAGCACAATACCGCTTGGAAGGCGCCAGAATCCGAGGAAAGTTGTCTAAGCAATCCGAGGAAAGTTGTCTAAGCACTCGAAGACTGAAGGTACAATGGATACCCATTTTTTTGGCGATGCCCATGCTAGGACCACACGAATGGTGCTGGAGGCCCTGTATGCCTTGCAAAGCCAAAGGGCCTTCCCACCCTTACTACAGCAGGCTGCGTTAAGATAGCCCACGACTTTTTCAAGGACCTTTGCATCCCACATCCCCCCAACAGATGAGGGCACTAGGCTGCGACAGATAGAGGAGTTTCTCCTCCCAATGACTAGAACCCTCTCCCTTGAGCAACGGGGCCGCCTCGAGGCCCCTCTCACAAAGGACGAGATATGGATGGCCCTGCGGCAGATGGATGAGGGGAAAACCTCGGGGCTGGACGGCCTCCCCAAGGAGTTTTGGGAAGCAATGTGGGAGGGCTTGAGCCCGGACCTCATGGACTACTGCAACGAGGTGTGGTGCATGGGCTGTATGGAAGAACTGGTGAGGCAAGGAGTGTTGTCCCTCCTGTATAAGAAGGGGGCCAAACTCAACATACAAAACTATTGGCCCATCACCCTCCTGACCGTCACATATAAGATGTTGGCTAAGGAGTGGCAAATCGAATGATTCCGGTCTTGGAAGAGGTAATCCACCCAACGCAGACAGGTTCATGCAGCATATGCAGATCCAAGAAAACATCTTCCTGGCCCATGAATTAGTGCAACTTACCCGACAATCCAAGCAGAATGCAACCTTGATCTTCATAGATTTCGAAAAGGTGTACGACCACGTGGACTGGTTATTCCTGGACAAATGTCTGGAAAAGATGAAGTTCGGCCTCTTTTTTCGTTGGTGGGTGAGCATCCTGCACCGGAACGCCACCACAAGGATGCAGGTCGACGGGACTCTCGCACCCCCGATCCCACTGGAGATATTGGTGCGCCAGGGCAACCCCATTGCACCCGTTCTCTTCCTCGTCATCATGGAAGCCTTGTTCGCACATCTTCGGGCTAATAGGGATATTATCAGGATACGAATAACCCGCATACCAGAAGAAGCCGTCCCGGTGTGGAGGAAGTTAAGCGACTAATGGACAGATTCGCAAGCGCCTCAGATATGGTGGTGAATTGGTGCAGTAAGACCCAAGGGTGGTGGATCCACTATCAGAGGGGAAGACCCCCGGATGTGCCTAACGTGCACTGGCTTCCACTGGAAGCCCCGATCCGTATCCTTGGAATCTCGATGTCAGCCCTGGGGCGCCCTCCATTGGATCAGCGCACCGGCCCTAGCCAAACTAACCATTTGGCGCCACAAACACACCTCCATCTTTGGCCGAGCCCTGGTCATTAACAATGTAGTATGGGCCACAATGTGATATATATCGGTGCTCTGGCCATAAGCAAGACTGCTATTCAAACCCTTAGATCCAAGGGCGCGGCCTTTTCATGGAGGGGTGATTATGAACAAGGAAACGTGATCAGCCGGGTTGCATGGGAATCGGTATTTAGCCTAAAAATTAGGGAGGCCTGGGTATCACTGACCCGCAGGCCCAAGTGCAGGCCCTCCGCCTCCGGTGGGTGAAGAAACTAATCCTCTTCCCTTCCTCCCCCTAGCAGGTACTAGCTTTAGAGCATGTAGCCCGGCTAGGCCCCCTGGCCACCCAGGGGGTGCACCCTCTTACCTGGTTGGCGGACCTCTACTGGTCGATACCTAGGAGGGTTCTGGACCAACCGCCGGACAGCTTCTGGCCGTCTCTCTTAAAAAGTTGGAGACCGGTTCCTCTCCCAGACAGACCTTCCCCTGACCGGTGGGGGAAAGTATTTCGTCAACCACTTTTTGGGAAACGATGGATCACACCCCACCAGGGACAGATACTGCGCAGCTCGGTGGCACCATGGAAGGGATGGGTTAAGCAATGGGTGCTTCGGGTGGGACACCTATGGGACCAGCAAAGGAGCGACTGGAAAACGACTGCTCACCTACGGGATACCGTTCGGCAATGCCACCATATAGACCGACACCTGGACACAATTATTGACGCTATCCTGCTGGCCTGGTACAGGCTACTCAGGTGGAGACCCACTCTACAAGAAGGAGACTGCATTGGCCTCACAGGGGACCCGACTAGGATTGGCCGGATTAGCATGGTCAGAGCCTCAGATGTGTTGGTGAAATACTACATGATCGGCCCGAACACGCGGAAAGGGTCTCGAAATCCCATGGAGTGGAGGGAGAGAACCGAGGTCTTCCGGGTGCGGGTGTTGGGGGAAGGAGAGGACAGCATGGTCTACCTGCTCCATACTCCCGTTCATGAACTCGCCTTCGACCCCCAAGAATGCCAATGGAAGACCGGCGGTAGAACAGCTCGGGCAACCAACAAAAGGATCCACCTCCACAGCCTGTCGGTCAAATCCACATATAGAATGCCCCGCCCCAAACGACCGCTGCGAGACCTGATGAATGATCGGTGGGCCAGACACCTCAATGTAGATCGCTCCCACATCACACCGATCCGATGGTTCGTCGACAGCAAAGTCAGGCCAGCCAAGGTTACGTCTTTGCAGTGGCAGATCACTCACCGCTGCCTCTCAACTAACGCCTGGCTCGTCGACCACACAAGCCTGAAACAAAAGGGGGTGGCACTGCCTTGGTGTCAATGATGCCTGACTGCCTTCCCCCCGCGCAAGTGAAATGAGACCATCGAGCATGTCTTCATGAAATGTCCAGTGGTGCTGCTGCCATGGCGGTGGTGGGACCGTATATGGCGTAAAATGCTGCCAGACACCCCCTGGCCATGGTCCTGGCAGGCGATATTGGCAGGACACTGTCCAGCAATGGCTCAATCCTCCCCGTTCACGGAAAATATGTATAGATTAGGCAGACGATTGGTCCTTTGGGCCCTCTGGTGCCAGCGTTGCCTCCTAGCAATGGAAAGGGTCAGGGTAGAAGGGGTGGAACTGACAGAACAGATCAAAGAGCAGATCCAGCTGGAACTGACACGCAGATGGCAAGTTCTCAAATCCCAGCTGGATATCTTTCACAGTAGTCAGGACATCAAACGTGCACTCACGCGCTTGGCACAGAGTGGCTTAGAGGGAATCGGGGGAAGTGGATTGCTCAGATACAGTGGGGGGGGGACCAGGACAGCAAGGCAGAGCAAGAGCCCTGCAGGGATTATAGGCTTCTCTTCAACAAGCAAGAGCCCTGCAGGGATTATAGGCTTCTCTTCAACAAGCGGACAAACGTTGAACCCTCCTTTCCCTTGAGACCACCTTCTGATTTCCCAGACCCTTTCCCGCCCCACTCTCTCTCTTTGGTTGAAACCCTAATCTGATACTCATGGGGCGAAATCTGGCCCCGGTGGCCCCCGGGGGTGGAGGGAGCCCCGCCGCTGGACATTTACTGCCAGGAGACTGGGATGTCATAGACGCTATGGGAAGCTGCAAGTATCAAACCAAGGAAGACGTCAGGCCTCTGGGAGTGTCTTCTGGCAGCGGTAAACAGATAGGAGAAGAGGGTAGGAATGACAAGCTGTTCTAGGCGCCCTGTACAGGGGTGAAGAGGCTCCTCTCTCCACGTGCTTTTTATCCTCACCGCACAGTCAATTCCCCTGGACAACCAGGGGCAATCAATGGTGGCGGGTTTTGCTCAGGACGACCCATCATTGTACAGGGACGCTGGACCCGATTTCCAGCAGGTGCTGCTCCCCACCAATAGGTGGAGCCACCTGGGACAACTACTAGGAGGGGCTGCTCTTATCACCCCCCCTAGTAGAGGTTGCAGGCTGTGTGAAAAAAAAAAAGAAAAAAAAAAAGAGGGTGGGTAGAAGCAGTCCTTCGGGACATCCGTTAAAATTGGAACGATACAGAGAAGATTACCATGGCCCCTGCTCAAAGATGACACGCATAAATCGAGAAATGACCCAAATGTAATGAACCTGGTCTGTAGGATACTCGTCAGATGTCGACATATAAGGTAACTCAATGCTGAACAACGTCTCCAATAGTCATCAATGCGATCTCTTCTACAATGTCTCATATCCAATTGACGAAGAGTGGAGAGGGGGATTAGAAAGATTAGAATGTGGAAGAGATAGTATCCATCAATGACCACAGAGATAGTAGCCCAACATTCCCCTCTCCTGCTCCGGGCTTCCCCTCGCCTCCACGTCAGCAAACAGTGTCCAATAACGAGCCTGACAGGTCCTGATCACATCAGAGTGCCACGTGGCACAGTTCTCTCGTGAAGATGTTCAGCAGCGCACACTATCGACATCATCAGCAGGTAAGTATCCCCTCTCTCTCTCAATCATCCACAGATCCCGATCTCCCTCCTTGTCGCGTCCAACTCAACAATGAAGACAGTGTGGCAAATGCCACGTCAGCAATGAAGACAGAGTGGCATGCGCCACATCAGCAATGTCGAGACAGCGTGGCTTTCGCCATGTCAGCAGAGGATGGCGCCAAGACAGAAGGGCTCCAGCGAGCAAGCAGCAGTCTCACATCGTCGTCCACAGTGCCAGCGAGCAGCCAGCGTCAAGCCAGCGTCCAGCCAGCGTCAACCCAGCGACAAGTCAGCATAGCAAGACTGAATGTTGACTCCCTGGAGGCCGGGCCTTATGTAGTGTTTGACGAGGTTGACCGGCCTCAGGTCTCCCACCCACGGTGGCTCAGATTGACTCGCAGCCGAGGGCCTGGATCGCATACAGCTGCAGACTTCCACTTGGTCCAAATGTTGTCTTGGTACCTGCATACAAACAAGTGTGTGTGTCTGACCAGCGGCCAGGGCTGGGTCCATGCAGACTTTGACTCTTGGGGCGCTGGGCAGTTGACTGAAGTCAACTGTCGGGCCCACAGGCCCTGAGGCCAATTTGGGTTTTTTTCTCCCCTTGGTCTTTGCGGCCTCAGACGGGGGTCGCGGCCTGCGTGTGGCCTTAGGACCACTTCAGGACATATCGAGCGGGGTATTGCACAAACTTCAAAAAAAAAAAAAAAAGGAAAAAAAAAGGGTGGGTAGAAGCAAGGAGGGGTGTATGCATGAGACAGTTCTGCCCACACACACACACAAAGAGAGAGGGCCTCGTAGGCTAACGACACCCAAGCCGACAGCTTGGGAACAGAGTCAACAGACCAAACAGGTTCAGAAGATGATAAGAATCACGACTTCATCAAGGTGCAACAGAGAGGACTCACAAATAGAGAGACCTGAATTTAATATTTTAGGTTTTCTTTTTACAAGGAAAAGAAAAAAAAGGAAAAAAAACAAAGACCTGATACCTGTTGATCCAAGGCGCTGATTCGGACAAGATGTTGATTGATTCCCTTCTCCTTCTCGTGGTTTTCTGCATCAAGCTCCCTGTTACAACGCCGAAGGTGATCGCATTCCTGACAGACAGGGGGGGGGGAAAAAAAAAAAAAAAACATTTCTTTTTGTAAGTTTGAACCATCAATTCGTCACAATGAACATAGTAACATACAATTTGTATTTTTATTATTTCTTATTAACGAGTTTCATACATGCGGTGCATGTCGTGCACGGATGGCAAGTGCACCGCATGTGCACTCATGAGTGCACACGTAGTGCAGTGCACCCCCCAAAATAGGGTGGCGGCACGCCCCTCCCCTCATCAAAGTACAAGTTGAAAAGGAAAAAAATTGGGGTCACACTCAACAGCGAGGGTGCGTTGTGTTCTCCAAAACGGAGATTTATGAAATTCTTTTTCTTGTTTTGCAGACAATAATAGGAGCTTTTCACGAATCGCAAAGTAAGCTCCGCAATTCATGAAGTGGCTGCTACCCCTCTCCGTCTCTGTCTGAATGCATACAAGCGGTCTTACAGGTCGAATACAGTCATGGTGCAAGGACATAGTGACCAGGGTCCGCTGTGTGCTTGAATGTATAGAAGCTACCTTTCAGGTCTCATACGCTCATGACGAGGGTGTGTTGTGCTCTCTGGCCCGGAGCTTTTCAAGAACTTGTGCTGACGGTCCATCTAGTGGGTGAACAACCAAGTGACGAGGGTCTCTTGTATGCTCAAACGTATAAAAGCTACCTTTCAGGTCCGATACAGTCATGACGAGAGTGCGTGGTGTTCTCCCGCACGGAGCTTTTCAAGAACTTATGCTGACAGTCCGTCTAGGGGTGAGCAATCCCATGGGCAAAGCAATCTGGTGAAAGAGTGTGTGGGTGAGTTGGCAGTAAGAGAGGTGGGCAGGCAGGCCGGCAGGCAGGTGGGCAGGCGGGCAGGGAGGCAGGGGGGCAGGTAGGCAGGTGGGCAGGTGGGCAGGTGGGCAGGTGGGCAGACGGGCAGAGGCGGGTAGGCGGGTAGGCGGGTAGGTGTACCCACCGGGAGGTGTGTAGGCGGGAAGGCGGGCAGGTGGGCATCCGGGCAGAGGCAGGTAGGCGGGTAGGTGTACCCGCCAGGGAGGTGGGTAGGCGGGCAGGCAGGCAGGTGGGCAGGTGGGCGGACGGGCAGAAGCAGGTAGGCAGGTAGGCGGGTAGGTGGGTAGGTGGGTAGGTGGGTAGGCCGGTAGGCGGGTAGGCGGGTAGGCGGGTAGACGGGTAGACAGGTAGGCGGGTAGGCAGGTACGCGGGCAGGCGAGCAGTCAAAACTGACAGCCCATCGGGCAGGCTGGCAGGAAAGCAAGCCGGCAAGCAGGCAAGCTGCCAGGTATATAGGTGTCAGCCACACAGGTAGGCAGGTAGGCAGGTAGGCAGGTAGGCAGGTAGGCGGGTAGGTGGGTAGGCGGGTAGGCGGGTAGGCGGGTAGACGGGTAGGCAGGTAGGCGGGTAGACGGGTAGGCAGGTACGCGGGCAGGCGAGCAGTCAAAAGTTCTCAAAACTGACAGCACATCGGGCAGGCAGGCAGGAAAGCAAGCCGGCAAGCAACGGGACAAACCAAATGACTTGATAACTGCAGACTGGACCAGCTAACCAAGGTCAGAGGAGGAAACAGGTTGAGAAATCAAGCAAATCATAATCATTAATTGATTGATTAATCAACCAAGGGTGTAAAACAAGGAATGTGTACCTTGCGGGTCTCTTCCAGCTCATTCTGTGCAGACACCAGCTGTGCTCTGAGCTCTGACTTTTTGGCTTCTAGGGCATACTTCGCATCAACCAGAACACGCACCTGCAATGAGGATCAAAGTTAAAACTGTTCACACATCAGTCAGCCATCAATCTGCACACAAATACTTGGTGACAAATCTGATAATAGATTATTGAGCAACAACTTGCCGACAAACTTTTTTTTTTTTTTTTCACAGCCGTAACTGCGGCTCCCCAATGCCAGAATCTTGTCCGTGAGAGTCATGGAATGCATTCTTTTCTTTCCTAGCTGCAGAGAAAGGGATGTGAAAAATGGGAAAAATCACAGAGATGCGTTTCCGACTGGAGAAAAAGGGGACATAATTACAAAACGGTTGAAAAACCTTCATTGAAAAAACAAACAAAACAAAATGCGAGGATACAAGCCCTTGGAATGCCCTTATTAGGCCCTCGCTTCAAGCATCATGCCTGCCCTGCGTGAAGGCGGGCCCTGCATCTCAAAAGAGGCCTGAACATAGCAAAATTTGATAGCCCTTGCCGACGCCAGACAGTTGCCTCGTGCCAGTTGGTTGCACGGGCCCTGCTCGCAAGCATCAGAATCTTTCGGGAGCCCTCTAGGCTCTTCTACTCAGCCTTGAAAGCTGGCCTCTCGGCCAATCACGGAGCAGGGAACACCTTGCTGGGCGCTGGGTGGTTGGGCGCACCTAACTGCAGCGGGCCAGGCCACTTTCTGAACGGGCCTGGGCGCAGACACGTTTGCCCAAAGTGAAGCTTCTGGGGACGCCCACGGGCCAGTCCAGGCAGCCATCGTGCCTGGCCACTTTCCATTTAAGAAGCAGCCAGGCTACGGACGAGGCATTTGGGCACTTGGCTGTGCAAGTGGCAGCGCTGCAGGAGCGATCGCTCACGCCTGCCTGCTAAGCTAGCGCTGGTGCCTGGGCGCAAGCGGCCGTCGGATGAAGCAAGGGCGCTGCACGGAAGCAGCGCCATAGCCCAGCCTCCATAGCCGGGCTTGGGCTTGGTAGTGCCAGCGGGGCAAGGTGGTGGCCTTCGTGAAGGTGGAGAGAACTGGGAGAGACGAGGGTGAGCATAGAGAGGGCGAGTGGGGAGGTGATGTGAGAGCACGTCCCTGGTTGTCGTGGAGGTCTGCATGTGCGACATTTGGATGTACTTCGGTTGCTGCTGCTGACGTCAACTGGTTGCTTTGTCATTTGAGTAGGATAGCATAGTAGCTATAGGTTCGTTGTCTGGGCACTGAGCGCCATCAGGAGGAAGAGCTTCCATTATATCGTTCGTGGTGGTGAGAGTATGCTTTCATTGACAATTGAGTTCACTGCTTTGGTTCTCCTTCGGTGTGACCTCAGTGCATTTCAGCTTTCTGGACAGCTTGCGACTATCTGGCTTTCAGTGTGATTTTGCAATATGGAATTCTGTCATATCGCTATTGCCCATTTTTCCTTGCAAAAACACAATTGATTGCATTTCTCTTCGCCCAATAACAGCTCGGCCCGACCACAAATTACGATAATAGCAACAGCGCAGCCAGACCCAGCCCGCCAAAAAACTTTGCAGCGAAGTATCAGCAAGTTAGTTGACTTGAAAGGAGTGATTTGACGCTACGAAGTTATGATGATGTCTCTAGTATGTCTACCAATTCCATCATCATATCCTTATGACGGTATAGCAGGACTCAAACCTGCAACCATTGGATTAAAAACTGTAGCCCACCAGCCTCCCAAGTTTTTGGCCCTCTTTTTGGGGGCACCTCGGACCCGGAAAACGTCCTAGGGCACCGCCTTTCCTTTTTAAAAAATGGTCGGGGGGGCGCGGGGCAATCTGGACCTACCAGACCCAGACATCGAGACCCAGACTGTCTGGATCCAGATCCGGATGTTTGGCTGGTTAAGGAACTGTTTTTCAAAAAAAAAATAAAAAAAAATCCTCTCTTCACGCTAAAATCGAACTCCACAAGGTGTACTCCTACATCAAAGTGTGCTTTCCAACTTCCCAGCCAAAAGAGAAAGATGTAATAAATGTTTACTGTAACAAAGTCATTGGCGCGCCGCGGCAATGCCGCAGCAGGTCAAGCGTCCAGAGATAGGGACGCACTCATGTTTCTCTCTCTCAGTCTCTCTCTCTCTCTCTCTCTCTCTCTCTCTCTCTCTCTCTCTCTCTCTCTC